CACACACACACACACTTCCTGGCTGCTATCCTGTATAGTGGCCAAGACAACCCAAGAGGGCCTCTGCCCCGACCTCTGGCACACAGCCTTCCATTCACAGACAGGCCAAAGCATTCATTCACACACACACACACACTTGACAAGCACCAACACACAGACAGCAGAGAGAACACCAAAACACACACATTTAAGCACATGATAAACTGCACTTGTCTTGCACACAAATGAAAACGCACAAACAGACACACAACCGTGCCAAGGAGGAAAGAGGTAAAGAGTAGAGCGTGGAGGAGAGAAGTAGGATAAGAGAGAGGAGGAGGGATTTTCCCCTTCACTAAAAGTTTTGTAGGATGCAAAAGAATGTTGTACTGCAGAGTTGGGGGAAGTGGGTGTATGAGGGATGAGGGGAGAGGGGATGGGGGTAAAGGGGGGTTGGTAGGAGCCACGGGGTGCATCCAACCGCTAGCTATGCCTCTCTCTTGCTCACTCTTTCCCCCTCTCTCTCTCACACACACACACAGACAGACACACTCCAGAACCAAAGCCTTGTTAGCTTTTTAAAATAATCAGGCAGTTGGATGATGAATGATTTAACAGGTATGGAAGGAAGGAAGCTCAGGATGCCTTCCGTTTCTCCCCTCAGGGTCATGGGAAGAGTGACAGGCCGACAGAGGGGTTGAGCTCTGGGAATAAACACCATTCCCTTTCATTTCCCTGCTTCTGCTTTTCCTGTCGAGATGGCAATGCCGCGGCCCGCTAATTTGTCATCAGTGTGACTGCGAGAGGCGATGACAATCTGCGACTCTCTTTTGAGAGGGGTTCATATCAGGATGGATACAGGTTGGCTGGCGACGAGTACAGAAGCAGGAGGGGGCCGTTGTTGTGTAACTAATGCGGACTTTTGCCTTGGCTAATATTCACACCTGCCATAGGATGTACCAGCATGAAGTTTCTTACACTCCCTAAGTATCAGAGTAACTAAGGGGGGAGTTGTCTTTAATAAGGAAAAGCACTTGCTGTGTGATGGGTATATCAAACACTAGTATGGAATATCCACACGAATCCAGTACACACTGCTATACATTATGTATCTGTTTGGTACTGTAAACTGTTTAATATCCTTTTTGCATTCATGGCTACTGTTTATTAGACTCATAATTAGTAGAATGAAATAGGATGAACACATGTCCTACTGAGTACAAAATGTTAGAGGGATCAGGAAACGGTTTAATTCATGAGTGAAAGCAGAGCCACAGAGGAAAGTCTAGCTGTATTGAAAAAGACAATGAACTGCTGCCCTCTAGTGTCTGTCTTTTGTCCTTGCAGTTAGTGATCCGATGAGCAGGCGCCAAAGCTGTTTGGAGGGCCTCTTTACTCCAGCCTTGAGAGGCCAGAACAAAGAGGCGTTGGAAGAACTTAGTTCTTAACCTTTGAGGTATTGAGCTTTAAGCCCTGAATGAAAAACAGCTTTCTGTCTCAAGTAGTTTGTAAAATAACTGTTTTTGGTCAACCACAATCTGAGCAGACGACTATAGCCAAGAGTTGTTTAAAAGCCACTTGTATTGCATTACTTATTATTGGAAAGCTTGGAGAAACGTTGTCTGCAAACTAGATTTAACGACTCAAAGTACAAGATGGATGGTGTTTTCAACAGTGTGCTGTGTGTCAGACAGTTTAGATGATCATAGGACAGTATTTGAAAGTCTATAGAATATTTTATTACAGCGGCAAATAGCCCCAACAAATGCCAACATTTTACTTCCAGCTCAGTGTAGTGCACTCTAAAACTTAACCAAAACCAATTTCTGTGACTGACAACTTAACATTAGAGCTGAAACGTTTGGTCAATTAATATATTTGTCAACTGACAGAAATTTAATCAGCAGCAATTTTAACATTCGATAAACCAATTTGAATATTTTTCTGTTTTTCTTCATTGGTAAACTAAATATCTGCATGAATAATGACTCAATACTTGGGTTTTGGACTGTTTGTCAGACAAAACCTGAATTCCAATTTGCAATATAGCATATAGGGGATTAAATGCAACGCAATGCAATATATTTAAGAGGAATCAAAGGCATCACAACAAATCAGTTTTACATGCCTTGCAGACAAATGTATTTTTAAGTCAGTTGTATTCTACAAAGGTATTCCCACTGTAACCATGCCAATGTGAACAGACTATGTTCTGAGGTCAGTAAGAAAGACACTAGTCAAGATATGTTAACGTAATCTAATCAGAAGAAATATTGATCCGTGCCATTTCAGCTGTCCTACTTGATATACAGAGACAAACTATCTAGTAATCTCATTATTAAAAGCAATTAGGTTCCAAAGGTGTGGACCCAGCAGCAGGTTCTTACATGAATGATGTTTCCACAGGTGATAATAAGCAAATTCCAATTAATGATTCAGTGGCTCGTTAAATTTTGATGAGAGGACCCCATGGAGTCATTAAGAAGCCTTGAGACATTCATTCACCTATTAACTATCTCAGTTTAATCTATACGTAAAATAATCAAGAATCCTCATTCATTATAATTACACAGTTTTACATATTAATCACACCCCAATTAGAGTCTAGAGCGGAGCTGTTCACTTAATGAGGTGGTGCCCACCCAACATCAACTGTGTGTACCCACACATAATTAGATCAAAGTTTCTCCAATTCACAGACCAGTCCAATCAGTGGGATTAGAGTTGACAAAGGTCCCCAGTTGTGCCCTTAACATTGACAGAAAGTCTGCAGAGCTCCAAGGACTGAAGCATAGAGGAAATGTGCCTGTACATCCAGTCATGCTTGCTCTCATAAGAACAGGACTGAGGTTGATGCCCTCTGCATTGCATACAATAAACATAAAATGAACCTGGAAATGGTGTTTCTCATTCTATAACCAAAAGTTATAGTCCAAAAGTGCAATGTGAAATGAAGTCGTTTCATATGATTGTTCTACTTCACTAATCGCAGTTTAGAAAGCCATTTTCTCCACTGAACTCATCCTAACAATTTGAAGTAAAAGGCAGCCGTTCTGCAGCGACAACTTCAGTTCTGAGGTCAGTGCCAGGAGTATTCCTAATAGCTAATATGCATTTCATTGGTGTAGGACAGGGGTTGGCACTTACTGTATGTTGGGCTGAGTTGATTTGGGGTTGGTTGTAGAAGCAGAGTAGGGATTTCTGGCACAACTTCACCTACTTCCAAGGTGCATGGAGAAGGGAAAAAGTCTCAAGAGGTCAAAACTCCAGAAACACTACACTAGTATATAGAACAACTTGATTGTCAGACCAACAGGTTTCCCTTGTTGATCAGGATCATCTCAAAGCATACCACAAACAGTATGGGTATGAGTCAAAAATAAGTTATAAAAAGGTTTAAAATATAAAATAAAGACCAGTCAATTGTATACAGTGCATACACATGCAGCCAATGGGGCACCAACACACAGATGGGCTGGGCACATGGCAATGAAGCTTCAAGCCAATTACATTCCCAAACTGGAACAGAGGCAACAGGAGAACCCAACAATGAACATGGGTGACACCGACCTGGTCTACAAACAGTTCACACTAAAAGCCTTAGAGCTCAGTTCTGATTTATGGCTGTTCACATTATTTTTTAAATGTGGCCCATATCAGATTCCAATGTGAAGAGGTCACAGCCCTGAAGTGACCTACATGACAAATGTCACATGAATTCTAATATGACTGTTCACACTGAGGTCCCATCTGTATCTGATTTGATCAGATTCCATTTGGTTTGTTCTGTTCACACTGTCAAAAATCTGAGATCTGAGTAACATATGAGCAAAAAACCTGATTTGGGTCACTTGTGCCTTCAGTGTGAATGTACTCACTACTACGCACTCAAGCTTGTAAAGAGGAGATCCTCAGCCAAAATGTACCTATTCGATGTGGCACACTCCAAAAACCATTTACAAAGACACTGTAACAAACTGTAAAAGCTAGGATAAAATATAGCAAAATAAAAACTAAAAATTCAATAAAAAGAGCAATAAGATACTTAGAGAAGCTACAAAAATAAGAGATTTAGAAAATCTCATAAAACACAACTATAAAAACTCATTAATTGAGAAGTCCTCATTCATGCCCCCCAGAAATGCTTCTGTCTTTTTTTCTCTCTCTACTTGGACTGGACTTAACTACGGCTGCACAATATGGTAAAAATAATCATATTGCAATTATTTTGACAGATATTGCGATTGTGATTCACAATTATGTGAGAATGATGATTTTTACATGACAAATGTAATTTTCATTTAAAGAAAATATTAGAATCATGATGATGTGAAATTTTTGGGGGTCTGTACCAAACAAACATGTTTTCTTAAATCTGTAGAACAAGATTTGTAGACCAGGTCATCTCTACAGCACTACAGCACTTCATTATGATGTTGTTGTGTCACACATTTTACCTTTATCAAAACATTACAGCTCTTGCTATTTGCATATTGCACTTGGCCATATTGCAACTGCGATAGTAGTTGATGAAATGTGATATTGTGCCCATCCCACCTATGTGGGTGCACAACTGGCCCATATGTATGTGCATGTATATAATTAGTTGACATTTACATATTTTTAACCTTTTTTTTAATATTTTTTGCCTCATACCCAGATACTGCACAAGTGTTCTTTGTGGTGTAGCGCGTTGGTCTGACAATAAAGTTGTTCTGTACCAGCAAAAGTTTACAGGGGGAGTTGATAAAAACGTCTATATGGTTTGAATTATTTTGGTTGTTTAAAATAAAATAGCTACATTTATAAAACTGGTTTGTAAACTTAAAATATATGTGCCCATATTTGCCAATCCCATACTAGTTGCTGCTAGAAAATAAAATAATCTCACCATCATTTGTGTTTCTGAGACACAAATCTCTTTTTATTAAAAAAAAAAACAGATTAATTTAATATGTTGAAATTAAACTATAACTTTGCTTTATTCCAATAAAAAGGTTTTCTTTTTCATCTGTTATTCATCTGTTCATTGAGTTGAAGTTATTTCAGCACCAGGAGCTGTCCATAGTCCTACAGTATCTGTATAATCATTTTTTTGTTGTCCTGAATGAGAACTCATCTTCAAACCTTAAGTACGGTGTCCCATAAGAGTCAGTTTCCGGGTCCATTCCATACATCGACTGTCCAGGGAAATCCACGTATCTCCAAAATGCCAGCTTTTCCTGAGTTTCAGTTTCAGCTTTCTGACTGCATTTTCTACAACACTAGTTTTTAAATAAGCTATGTAATATATAGGGATGTCTGGATAAAGTTTTTGGCCCCAATCCCAATCAGAGTCCTTTAAAGGTCCAGTGTGTAACATTGATGAGGATTCTACTGGCAGAAATGGAATATAATATTCAGTCCATAGGTGTGTTTTCATTAGTGTATAATGGCCTGAAAATAAGAACTGTTGTGTTTTTGTAAC